CAAGTAATCAAAGAAATAAAATAAGGCTCTCTCAAAGAAATATGACAAAATAAAAATAGAGAAGTATGTATATTAAAAAAAAAATTAGAATGACTCTTGCCATAAGATAAGAAAATTAAAGACTCTTGAAACTAAACTAGAAGCAAGAAAAGAATTGACAAGAGTAAAGAAGGCTTCACTCTTATTTTTATATATATTATCTACTTAGGATCTATTTAGCAATATTCTATATGACATCTAAAAATGTGTTGACTTTGTATAATACATATCTTAACTTGCAAGGTAAGTTTTTTATATAGATACTACATAGTTAACTTGTTTCTCAAGCTATCAACATGTATAACACATAGTTAGCTTGTTGATCAAGTATCTAATCTACCAATCAACTACAAACACATGTAAACTCAAAACAACATCTATGAAGCTTCTAGGAAGCTTGATTAGAAGGTATTATGAAATTAATCTACTTTTATCTACTTCTACGTATTCATATTACCTAGGTTATAATTACACTAGATATATATCCATAATAGGATGTAGCAATTAAAAATCATAATAGCATAATAATATTTAATAAAAAAGGTCTTTTTTTAGTCTAGTTATTTTAGGATTATTATGTTTAAAAAAGTATAATTTTCAAATAGTTTAAATTTCTTATAATCTTGATTTTTTTTAATTCAATCCAAAATTCCATTAGTTAAGTAGAAATACATAAGTTCAATACATCTAAATCCTTACTAGTATGTGCAAGAGCTTTCATGCATGTGACAAAAGAAGGATAATTTTTTGTTATATATGCCATGCTTATTTTTGATGGTGAAAAGACGTCAAGTAATATTTCTAGTCAATATTAAGATTTTTAAGATATTTTTTGAAAAATAAAATAATAAAAAAATAAAGAATTTATTCATTGATTTGCAATAAGAAGCTCAATTACCATTTAGATCAATTTATAGCTTATTGCAAAATAAATTAGCTCCTTTAAAAGAGTACATTGACAAAAACTTGGCTAAGAACTTTGTATCCTATTCAAAATCTCTTATTGGAGCTCTTATCTTATTTGTGAAGAAAAATAATTGATCTCTATGGATGTGCATATATTAACAAGGTGTAATGGAGCATGGATAAGATAATTGTATTATTGATGTATAGAGATAGGTAATTAGAGCTATTTTTGAATAATTTCTAGAAGTTTTTAAAATTGGGGCTAGATTAGTGGTCTATGTGAGATCCATTATATAATATGCTAAAAGAACTAAGGGTAGTTATTTAGGTAGAGCCCACCTCTAAAATCTTTGAAAAAAGTGGTTATCTTGGTAAGTTCCACAATTAGGAATATTTTAAAAAGTTCCAAGATAATTAGAAAAAATATAAATATGATTAACTAAGGCTAGTTAGAGCCTTTGATCAAGTATGGCTTTAGTCTCTTTCCCTTAGTAAAGTTTGGTTTTCATTTTTTTTTCTATTCTACTCTATTTCTTTATATTTTGTTTTCTCTTTCATGTTCTATTTTATTTAATTCTATTCAATATTATTTTAGTCTATTTTATCCTACTTTGTCATAGGATTTATGTTGCTATAGACTTGAAAGGTTTTTAGATCTTTAAGAGAATTTAGTCTCATTTTACAAGTACTTAATAAGCTCACCATCTAGAATAGGTATACCATATTTCTAATTTTAAGATTTTTTAACTAACTCAATCTATTAAAGATCTATAAAAAAATAAATCTATGAGGAGTATATAATTTGATTTATATCAAAAAAAGAAATGAATACAAGATTGTTTTATAAACTAAATATGGTCATTTCAAATATAATGCCATACTTTTTAGACTTACAAATGCTTCAATTACTTTTTAGTATCTTATAAATTGTATTTTTTGTAAGTTATTTGATAATTTTATTATTTTTTATTTAGATAACATTCTAATTTACTCTAAAAATACATAAAAATATGAACTTTTTGTTTGTCATGTATTACAAAAACTTAAAGATAGAAGAATATGCCAAGATAAAAAACTGTCTATTCCATATTACTTAAGTTGACTATCTAGGATACATCATTTCCAACAAATGCCTTATGATGGATTTCAAGGTCCAAACTATCATGGATTGGAAGATTTCAAGAATATTAAGAGATGTGCATTATTTTTTTCGCTTTGCTAATTACTATCACATCTTTATCAAGAGCTTTTCTCAAGTTGCAGCTTCACTTACATATTTGACTTATAAAGACAAACTTAAATAGAATAAAGAAGCCAAAGCATTGTTTGATGCTTTAAAGAAAAAATTTACTTTTGCATCAATCTTGTATTGCATTGACTACTTTAAGGCATTTTTCATAGAAATAGATACACCAAACTTTGTTTTTGATGCAATATTGTCACAAATGGGAACAAATGATAAATTCCATCTAATAGTTTTTTTATTTTAGGAAATTTTCAGTAATAGAAAGGAACTACAAAATTTAAAATAAAGAACTTCTTACAATTATAGATCCTTTTTTAGAATGGCATCATTATTTAGAAGGTGCTTTGAGTCCAATCACCATATACACAAATCACAAGAACCTCGAGTACATCATGTCAATGTAGGTTTTAAATTATTTTGAAGCTTATTAGAACATATTATTATCAATATTTGATTTTAAGATTACATATCGATCTAAAAAATAATAAAATTTGTCGAATGTATTTTATAGATATTTTTATCTTGTACCAAAAGAAAGAGATATAGTTTTTGATGAACAAAGAACAGTTATTTTGAAGCCCAAGCAATTTCATCTTTAAACAATAAATCAACATTGATTGTTGATTCAACCTTTGTCAAGCAAGTTCAATCAAGTATGTCTATTGATCTTCTTGTTCATAATATTAAAAATACTTCTTCTAAGTCTCTTCATACTTTCAAGTTTGAATTCAAAAACAACCTACTTTATTTTGAAAGTCACATGTACATTCTAAAAGGAAAAGCACATTTATATGTATTTCAAGTATGTCACAACTTTCCAACGGTATGACATTTTGGATACAAGAAGACTTTAGAGCTTATATCTTGGGATTTTTAGTGACCACATATGTGAAAGGCTGTAAAAAACTTGGTATAATTGTATAACATTTGCTCAAGATTAAAAATTCCTTATAATTAACCTTATGGACTTCTTCAACTATTTTCTATATTAGAACAACTATGGTCTTTTATTTCTATAGATTTTATTATAGATCTTTCAAGTTCAAGTTCATATCTCTTTTTTGTGATTGTAGATCATTTCACCAAAATAGCATATTTTGTGGTATGTACAAAATTGATTTCAAATAAAAAATAGCTAAGTTTTTTCTTCAAAACATCTATTACTATCATAGTTTGTTAATTGATACTATATTAAATAAAAAAATATAATTTATATTAAGAATTTGAATAATATTTTTTAAAATATTAAAGATAGATATAAAATTATCTTTGGTTTTTTATCTTCAAATTGATTAAAAAAATAAAATAGATGAATCAAGTTTTAGACCAATATTTGAAGTATACTATTAACCATTATCAAAATGATTGAATAACTCTTATTCTATTAGCAAAGTTTGCATACAATAATTTGGTACATTCTTCTACTCAATAAATACTTTTTTTTACCAACTATGGTTATCATCCATAATTTAATACTTTTGATTTTTCAAAAGTTAATAATCATGTAACAAAAGATTTGATAAATTGTTTATTTTAGCTACATGCAATAATGAAGATGCACTTAATGGAAGCTCAAAAATGACTATAGATCAATACAGATGCTATGACAAGAAACAACTATAATTTAATGTAGGTGACAAGCTATGGTTACTTGGTCGCAATATTTAAACTATTTGTCTTTGTGACAAATTGGATTATAATTGGATTGAAAAGTACAAACAAAGATTCAATGTTATTTGTCAAAAAAATTTAAGGAAAAATGTTAACAATAAACATATTATTAAAAGCCTCTAACTTTTATATATATATATATATATATATATATATCTTGATGATAAAAGTATTTTTATTAGTGAGTTGCCTTATAATTTGGTTCTATAAGTGCACACACACTTCGACATCCATATATATATATATATACATATACATATATCTATGCCCATGACTACAAACAAATAAAAAGAATAAAAGAAACTACATATAGTAAAAGACTCAGGATTAGTTGCAATGTGTACATATACTCTGGAATGGGTGTTCAACTTAATGGCATTAACAGAAAACTACTGTGCGGCGCCTCTTTCAACCGACAATGGAACTGAAAACCTGCAAACTAAGATGGGAAATATGATAAATGGCGATTAAATCCAAGCTGCTACAAATCAGATGCAACAACATTCACCGCGGAAATAACGTGACTTTCATGCAGAACTGCCGATCTAAGGAGGCCCTGATGATCAAAGAACTGCGGTGGGAGTGAGACACCCCCTGCAGGAAAGCTACAACACATAGTAACACAAGGAAACTGCGGGATTCTAGCACCAATCGATGTGACCAGGTTGCTGGTGACGAATTTCCACATGAGATCGACGATTGTGACCCACACATTCGCAGACTCGTGTTGCCAAGCTTTGAAACCCAGTGATGGAGAGAGATTGCAAGAGGACTCTTGTTTGTTTGTTTATTTGTTTATTTATTTATTTATGTTTGTTTCTATCTAGAAGTCCGCCGAACACTGTACTTCTACGCGGTAAAGCTGGGCAATGATATGCGGATCTCAAGTGGGTTTAGTGGGAGTCACAGCATGATGATCAAAAGCTATTTTGTTCGTGCTCAAGTAGATGCTTGAAATCTCAGTGCTCATCATAGTCATCTCATTGAGATGCTTCACGCGGTCGTGAGATCCATCGATCTGGATGTTCTATGCGAAGTGACCTTGCTGTGCGTGGCTAATCTTGTCCTCTGTTGAGGCCCATCGTTGTCAGTATGCTCGCTCAGGTGTACTCGATTCCCCGCGACAAAAATCCCGCATGACCTGGTCAGGTCTACAGTAACGCCAAGTTGAATCTATCCTGCTGCTGATGCCATAGTCGCCGAAGCGGCAATGGGTGGATGGATGAGCTAAAGATGGCGGTTGCGCAGCTCGGCAAACAGTTTAAAGACCAGCCATAACCCTAGTGAGAGGCATCACGGTAGCGTGCTGAAGAACCTCTTTCGTCTTCTGCATTCTAAGGTCGGGTTGTAGTTTCCCGATGGCATGAGTACGTGCAATCGCCATCGACTTGGTAGTTCTCACTTGTCAAGGGTTCAGTAGCTGTCGTTTGTGAAAGTGTACTCGGTCCATGAAATGCTTCAGCTGTCTGTCCAGGTGCTTTCGTATTGATATTTCATTTTAAATTCGTTTGAGTAGCTTTTTGGCTTTTGCGCTGCATCCAAATCGTCAAAGGTTTTCTTTTCAGATCTACTGGTGGCACAGTTTATTGTAGTCAACAGGGTCTCCTGCAGGGATAATGATCTCAGTGCCAGCTCCCCAACGCCAAAGATGAAAATCCCTGTGGAATCAAAGGATCTGCCTCCGGATTTCGAGCCTACGGAGTGGAAAGATGAATTGGCGAAGAGAAGGCCCGAGCAAATGGTGCAGTACATGGTCGAGGAAGGTATAGCGGAGGTGCCAAAACGGTTCGTTCAACCACCTCACATGCGTCCAGCTGTAGGACGGAGAAGCTCTAGCGATGACGAAGTGCCCATCATTGACATGGCACTGGGGAAAGACGAAGAAGGAAGGAAGCAACTCCATGCAGATATTGCTCGCGCTTGTGAAGAGTGGGGGTTTTTCCAGGTGACTGAACTCGGTCGTTTCCATTTCGAAAATCAAGGTTAGAAGATCACCTCGTTTGTGCATGCATCTGTCTAATTAGCTAAACTCCGACTTGTACTTTTCAGGCAATAAATCATGGCGTTCCTGACACTCTCATGGATGCTATGATGGACATGGAGAAGAAGTTCTATTCTCTGACTTCAGAGGAAAAAGAAGTGTATAAAAAGCGTAAGACGACCATGTCTGTGGGTTATGGTGGTGTGTATGATAAGCACAAGGACCAAGCCTTGGTGTGGATGGATCGTTTAACAGTAGACTTGCCTTCAGCCAGAGACCTAACTGAAACTTACAATCTTGTCATTGATAACCCCCCTGGGTTCCAGTAAGTTTATTCTGACTTAAAGCACTTTTTTTAGAATGGCTTTCTTCAATTGACATTGCGCATCACTTCAAATGCAACTTTTCTCTAGAGTAAAAAATTGTGAGGGCACATCCAATATTCCATGTCCTTGATTTGTCATCAGAAGTTCATCGTTCTTACATCTTCGCAGGGAGGTGTACGTTGAGTATGGGAAGGCAATCTACGAGTTTGCCAAGGAGATCATGGCTATCATTTCCGAAGTGCTGGGTCAACCTAAAGACTTTTTATTCAAAAAAATTGGGGACGATCGGGCAGCTATGAAAACAGCTTTCAACTACTATCCTCAATGCCCTCAGCCGGAGTTTGTGCTGGGACTCCCTCCACATGCCGATGCAAGCGCTCTGGCGATCCTACAACAAGGTTCACCAGGACTGGAAGTGTTGAAAAATGGATTCTGGATTCCTGTTCCGCCGTGTTCGAAACGTTCATTGGTTGTCAATGTCGGCGATGTGATACAGGTTAGTTTGTCAACCTTGTGACCCTACGCCTTTGGATTGAACAGTTCCTGGTACTATCAGTTAATTGGATGGAGTGGTTTTTCTATTCTTACTCAACTGTATTTTGATGTTCTAGATGATAAGCAACGCGAGATTTAAGAGCTCGCTTCATCGAGCAGTTGTGACGGAAATAAGCCGCTACAGCATAGGCAGCTTTATAATGCCTCACCGAGAAATATATTTGGCACCAGCTGCTGAGCTCTGCGACGAAATGAACCCGCCAATATATAGAAGTGTAAAGTACGCGGAGTACATTCTTGAGTACCTAAGTCGGGGGATCAAGGACGATTTACGGGTCGTGGACCTATTTAGACTGTGTACATAAGCATGTGAAATGGACTACATGACGGAGAGCACGAACACTTTCCCAGAGTCTCAACGCTAGTTGTCAATATCAGAATGGATAGTGACAGATGTGGACATCTAAAGTAGGAGTGTGATATACGATCTATTGGGAAAGAAGTAATCTTACAAGTGTCTTATTTACTAGTACATGAAGCGAATTTTCAACAGCATTGCTACAACCTGAATGCTGTGAAGAATGAGCACAACAGATACGCGTAGACATCCAGGAGGTAAACATGCCCAACTGAACCAGCAGACCTCTTGTAGTACAACACGAATTTCTCACATCATTGACGAGTAACATATTTCCTAACTCAAACAAACTTGGCATGCCACCAGGAGGTGGCCACGATGAATAAAAGACGTCGATAAACTTGTTATACAACGTTTCCAGATATAATTGGGATTAAAAATTATTTCAAAACTGACATCATTAAAAAAGCTCGTAGAAATCCTACAAGAAATATGCATGGAAGGTGGATGAAATGCATGCGGCTTCAACATTTTCTTCTTACGCACAATCGGTAGATTGCATTACCTGCAACAGCAGCACCGAATCCAACTGCAGCCAGAAACCACCTCAGAAAGTTGTAAGCAGGTAGGGTTTTCTTGTGTCAGCAAGTCCTAATCTTTCTACTGCAGAAAACTACTTGAACCATTCGCAAAACATGCATCTCTCTCAGGCAGAGCACTTTTTCTACTTCAATGCACATTTTCGCTATGTGTGTATCCTACCATGCGACACAATGACAGTGAACATGTGGTATTCAAGCCCGTTCCATCGGCAAAGCACATGCAACCCTGCGAACAAATGAAAAGTCATGACATACCAGCAGCGACTGTTAACGACCATTGAATGAGACATCGATAGTGCTTAAATTTCCTTCCTGCCTCTGTCTTAGGGATGCTACGGTGCGGATGTTGTGCAGCATCGACTATTTTCTGAAACAAGTTGCCGACATCACCTAATTTTGTGCTTACAGAAATGGTGGCTTCGAGCCCCATATCGGTGCAGACCTGCAACATCAACCATGAGGCGTTCAGCTGAGCTTCAAGAAGTTTTGGAATGATGTCACAAAAGATAGTGCATAAAGTTCTTGCTGGTCTGATGGAAGCGGAATATTTTGTTCCTTGCAACATGTTCCTTTCAATTCAAAACATGAGCCATTAATAACGAAATCGGTGGACTAAGCAGGAATATTAGTTCGTACCCTTGTGGAGCCCTTCGTGCAAGAGGGGACAGACTCAAGGTCATCTTTGGCGGAGATGATCATACAGGGAATTTCATACCCAGTGATTTCTTGATGTGCTATTACTTGTACTAATAGCTCATAAGCGCGTTTCCATGATTGTGCATCTGCACTGTTGCGAAGTTAACCATTTCAACCTCCTCAGCCCCAACACAAATCAAAACTTCATATCCGATCCTCAGCAAAAAATAATTAGTTGTTTGGAAGTGCCTATTTTATGCAGAGAGTTCTAAATTTTTATTTAGCAGGTGTCAAAATATTATCAACAGCCATGTTAATATATATATTTCCAAACAATTCCATAGCGCAGGATCCCATGCGTACCAGTCATATACAAAAGCAGCCACATCACAAGAAGAAAGAGCATGTTTCTTCTCAAAGAGGCTTGACACGGATTCCTCGATGATCTCTCTCAGAACCAAAGTCTTCCTTCCACCCTGGCACCTACAGATTTGTTAATATGAGGAGTTGACCTAGTGAATCTTCGAGTCATGGAGCTCAAAAAACTACCAAATATCTAGTTTCCGGCTTCAATGCCCACAGCTGACGAGTGAGGGTCATGTTTAATGCAAATAACATTTAAAGCAAACCGTCCGAGCTGCAAGACTGGCTAGAAGCGTACCACAATTTGATCCACCACATTCACAGCATAGCGAGTGTCCTCTGTGCGTTCATATGCTTCAGTAAAAGGCCTGTGTACTTGACAATAATGCAACCTTAGTCGTAGCATTCGTAAATGTGAGATAGATTGACAAGTAGGGTCCCTTCCAGAAGGATCAGTTAGTCGAAATATTCCTAAATGCGATGATTTGGATCCTACTTGTTCATTCATTTTTCCACATCTTTTGAAGGAGAGAATGATGCAGAACCTCTTATTTTAGAAGCAGCTTTTAATGTGGAAGGTGCGAGACAATCAATGTGGAAGGTGCGAGACGACGGTAGCAAGGACGTCCTTATTCAATCAATCACCCATTTATTAATGACAAGAAGGAATGCACCTCCCAATAAGAGCATTTAAAAGGGCACTTTTGCCACACTTGTTTGCACCAAATATATAACACTGGTAAACAACACGATCAGAACGCTGTCTCCTTCTGTCTCGACGACGGCGGTTCGTGATGTGGAAGGCAGATGATGGATTATCAGGGTAACCTATATATATAAGATGTGATAGACTTTTCCGAGGCTCTAACATCGTCATCAATGCCCACTGTATCCAACAAAAGCAACCCCTTCAGCTTTTTTGTCATCATATTATTTCTCACAAGTGAAGCAGATTCTAAAGCAAACACCAGCTATTAATCAAAGGCATTGATTTCTAAACTGCATGAAGCTGTGTCATTATGCCAGTTCCATCTCGAATTTTCGACACAAATTAGTGGAAACATTATGAAACAAAGGATTTTGGACGTGCACAGAAATGCTCACCAGTGACAGAAAGCCATTTAAAGTGAGACCTCCCACTTGATTGGTCTCCGCCACATCACTATATGTCAGCTCCGTCCAGGGGCTGCAAGTATTGTTAGGCAGGTCAGAGTCTCTCCATGCACAATTCCAGTAAGTTTATAATATCATTGACAGGGTTATTGAAACGTCTTTAACTGGGATGCACATGTTCAAACTTTCTTCATATATTTATATGAGAATCGCGAGGAAATGGTTCGAATTTGTACAAAGACCTTACACATCCTGCAAAAAGGCAATCAAGTTAATTCTATGATAATCCATGTTATCATTGGCATATGAATATGAATGATAGATTATCATTGGCATATGAATGCAGAAGCTGAAACTCAACGAAGACAGACCATGTTATTATTCGCAGTGTGTTTGAATGGAGGAGGCAATAGACCTGGAGGGAGCTGTAGAAAAGAGCTCTTCTAGCTGTTGGGGTCGCAGTGCACAATCCTGCGCTTTCAACAACCTTCAATCCATCAAATATAAAAAATTCTGCTTAATGCCAACTAACCAGGCTGCAAATAAGTTAAGTATAATAGTGCAACACACTTTCCTCTGGTAAGTCCTATCAATGATCGTCGCAATTATAACATTTTAATAGTGACTTTTTATGAAGAGAGATAGCTGGAAATTAAGCCCTCTTGTAAGAGCATGTTCTGCTGGTTTGTTTCAGTGCTTACCCCATCTGCATCAAAAGCTACAAAATCTCTTTTGAGAAAATCTAACGCTTTCTCGGTCAACTCCACAAACTGCATGAGAATAAAGGACAATCGCATCAAGGACAATCTCAACTAAGCAGAACGAGCAAAACAAACAGAATATTCGGACAAGAAATTAGTGAAGGGTGACAATTCAAAGAGCCTCAACAAGTATCTCAATAACTGCGGTCAAACCTATGCGTCTGCTTACTCCACAAAGTTTTGACTACCAGGAAACTGGAAAAAGCTGAACATACTTCTCAGTGGGTTACGTTCAAATTTGAAATCGAATGTAGAGCTTGCTAAAGTAAAAATGTGAGTAATCATGGAGTTGGTAGAGAGAAAAAGTACACGACGTTACCGCATCCGCACACCGCTTGAATGATGGGTATTGTAGCAAGTCGTCCCTCAGCTTAATCTCATCGTCATACCCATATTTTCTAAGAACCGTCCACGTGGTTTCCAGGCGACCCTTCTCAATAAACAATGCATGAAGAAACAGAAATCCAGTCAAGGTGAGTCCGTCCACATTCACACCCTCGGCCATCTTCTCTGACACTACATTCTTCACCTCATCTATCTCAGATAGCTGCAGTGGTGCATTGAAGCACTTGACCTGGCTCCCCCCACATGAGAAAATAAAATTTTCAAGCCAATGGTAACATTCATCTGCCGTGAGCAAAAGAAACGTCTGCTCTTGAAGAGATCAGAAGATGAAACCGAAAGCTTCTGCGCTAGTGAGTACTGATGTCCATGCGTCCTCTGCAGCCTTAGACGACACATCAGGAAGTTGGGGTGCAGAAGAGGACGTTGTAGGAACCTGAAAGTCGTTAAGTTCTGCATCATTAAGCGCACCATCTTTATCCCGGTCACAAAGCATGAAAATTCTCTTTAATGCCCGAACACAACGGGGTTTTAACGTCCGAGTCTCCTGGTCAAATAAAGGAGCAGTCGGGTGAAGAACCGCTTTCTGAGCATAATAAAATACATCAGCAATCTGCAAATCACAGAAAAATAGCAAGCACTTCATGACATAATATGATATGCAATATGAAGCACCTTCTTGTGGCCTAAATGAAGTTCAACATTTTATTGACACTGCAAGGCATAGAATAAATGCGGTCTGCCAAAAACATAATACAAATACAAATAAAAAAACATATAAAAAAATAACCAGCGCATTAAATATCGACGTTTATTACACTATTAAGCTTTTATCAACTTCAAAACTGTCGAACGTGTCAGTTGATATCAATCAGAGCTATATTGAAAGCAACCTGAACTTGTTTAAGAGCAGAGCATTCTATAATTGTTTCAATTTCCCGGTACTCCTGCATCAGTGGGGCCATGATTTGTTCTATATCAGACTGACGATCATCGTGGAGGTCCAGCTTGCATCCTACCACAACGATGGGCACTTTAATCTGCAAAAATAATACAAACAAATAGTACTTGAATGTAATCCTCAGAGGAATGCACCCAATTGTTGTCTCATATCATGCTGTCATTTGGATGCCTCGTAGATGACAGAGACTAACCTCTAATCGCCGAAGCTCGGGCAACCAGTAGGTTGAGAGCCGGTCAAGTGTACGAGGCAGATCGTCGGAGTATGTCAAAACTATGGCATCCGCCTTCTTGCACTCTGTTTCCGTCTTGATCTTGTCTTGTTGCCTGTCCATTGTGATGCAATGCAAGAGACACATGAAATTATATGGTCAATCAAGGTTTTACTTCGATAATTCTTCTCGCTAATTTGTCCATCATCGCAGCCCCGCAACACAAGTTAGCAGCGAAACTACATTAATTGGCCAATCAAAACGACATGAAGGTGATATCCTCCCGAAACTCCAATGCAGAGAATACCGAATGCAACAAAACAATTAAAAAAATTGGAATCACCACCATGCATTCGTGACGAAAAGAAACGTCGTGAGGCAGAACCTTGAAGATGTATCCACGATGGTGAGCGAGACGCGACTGGGGTAGAAATCTGGGGGAAGGCACGTGGGCGGCAACACAGGGGGAGGCTTGTCAGGAAAGGAATCGGTAGCAAGAGCGATGATAAGACCGGACTTGCCAGTTCCGTGATCACCTACGACCACCACCTGACACCGAGACCTCGCACCCTGCCCATCCTCTTCTGCCATGATTCCTGTCCCGATTTGTCCACTCTCCCCCTCATGGACACCAGGTCATGCTCGTCGCGGCGGCACCATTACAGATTTCCATTGCTGCATGGATTGTCACTGACCTAAATCATGGTGCCACACTCTTGTTTTCACATCCGTGCCCTAATTAGATGCGGTTCATCCTGCTTGATACGCACACTGGCTTGTTCGCTGAGTTCGCAACAACCTTGAGTCGAGGTCCTAGGAAGTTTGGCTGTCTTTTCCGCAAGCATGATTGCTCCATTTGAATCCTGGACTTCTACCTCTTCGCCCATCTTGCGCTGAAATGGTCACTTTACTCTATACAGCAGCGATTACCTCTTGTGCAGTAGGGTTGAACCTTGTTAGGTTTGTTCGGTTAGAGAATTCGGCTTACTGTCTGAACGTGAGGAAAGGTTCTGTTCATTCGAGGTATTCCCATTTCCAAATTTTCTTATAGTTAGTGCCTGACTTCGAAAGATTGGCTGCTGGTTCAATTGAGAGCTTCCAGAATCCGCCACCAATCGTAAGCTTACCAGATGAAGTTCTCAGGAGTTCAAAGGTCGTTTGACATAGCGCCTCTTCAAGGATGAACGATGTAGACCTACGAACTCGGCTTTTGCTTTAGACACTCTGCAGTGCAGCCAAAACTTACATTAGAGAAATCAGACATTGTACGAGGTGGATAGTCCTGTCAGCCATGGCAACGCGGTGGGTCAGTGTGACTTATCCTTTGCAACAAACTGCAGTTGCCAGTGCTCATGAAGAGAGATAAGGATTGAAGCGAATTGCAGGGAAGTAATGAGAAGCTCGTTATCGGGGTTCTTGTACAATCGTGCATTCGATGAGGTTGAAGAGCATGAGCTGCGGGTTTCGGAGGGGTTCGCAAGCGGAGAGTATGCACGTCAACGTGAAGGCGTGGACTCGAGAGGAATGGTTTCTGATGACACGAGGTGTCTCTACTTCGAAGTCGCCTTAACAAGACCCAGCTGATATAGTGCACAACTGTTTCGAGGACATCAAGAGACGTGAAATAGCCAAGAATGGCGAATTATTTGCAGATCAATGAGTTCTCAAAAACCTCACGCAATGCGAAACCAGCTGCACAGGCCAATCTCACTCATTGCACACTGCCCTCATAAAGAAAGCGCACATATTCCGAATATGAAAAAGCGAGGGTTAACATGAGAACCCACATGCGATGGATACCGAAAACTCTCCAAGACTGCGCAGATCCTTTAGAAGTGGTCTGCTGCGGAGGGTTTCGTCAATGGCAAATGGGTTTACGAAGGTCCTTTACTGTCGAGGAGGTCATCTGCAGAATTGCCATAGTTTTCTGCCAAGATGCCTTGACTCACAAATCAAACTCCTCATTCAAACTGCTTTGCTACTACCGATTACATCTACATTGATCTGGATCGTAGAACAACATTCTTCGGTTTTTGCACGCAACGTGATTTGCACCATATCGTCAATCCTCGACTGCTATCAGTGTTTTGTTTGCAACAAGCAGCGTGTTCTGGACAATAGCAGTGGCCTACTCTACATACAAGCACACACACATGCAACACTGGAGATCACACGACGATTGAGGTGGGCATTGAAATGACCACCGCACAGGTTTTGCAGCTATTGTCAGAAAACTGACAGTTTTACTCGAATCGATGAAGCTCAGCGAAAGTGGCATCGGTCTATTATAAGACCCTTTTCTATTTCATCTCACGGGACACGGTATCCATGCCCGGTATATAGTAGCTCATATATTCGTAGAGTCTGTGACCGTAGGAGGGAACTTTCAACCGTATTCCGTCCCCATGCAACACACACTTTGGCTTTAGATTGTATCTAGACTATTTGGTACCAAGAGCATGTGGGCTGGCTCCTGCTGTGACGAAATTGGGCGGAAGGTCTGTACTTTTTGATTACCCCTAGTGACAATTTATTTTTTTTTAAAAAATAAAAAATAAAATAAAAAATTAGACACAAAAGTTGTTTACTACATGCATTGATAGGTTTGAGTGATAACAACAAACTACTCAAATATACTATGAGAAGGCACACATTGATGGAAATCAATTAATCTATCATCATATTACTATATATTAGTTTCATTTAACTAGCAAAATTAATTAGTTGAATTTGTGAAAAATTAGAATTTTACACATTATTAAAGTCAATGTGATTTTCTAACATATTTCAAGTCATTAACTTTTTATTCCCACAATAAAACAAATCTTTTGTTGTTGTTGACTTGTTTTTTTGGTTTTGTTATAAGCAATTTTCTTTACATCATATATCCATACTTTTGGAAGTTATAGTAGCCAATTTTCTAATATATTGATTAATCTATTTCTCTTCATTGAAAAATATACATTTTTTTTATATCCAAATAATCTATGAATGGAACCTTCTAAGTAGTGACAATATTATACTAAAACTTTCAAACCTATAATAAGTCATTGATTTCAAGTCTAATTGTAAATAAATATAAAGTTATATGATATGGTGAAAGTAATAGTAACTCATGAATTGTCATAATCAATGTGGATTTAAGATAGATGTAGACTTTTTTCATATTATTATATTATTAAATACTTTCTATTCTCTAAAATTTAATTTGATTTATTTACATAATAGATCTATCTTGTTAAGATTATTTCTACAAATCTAATAATATATATATATATATATATATATATTACTTTTGTAAGTCATATGTTATTATGAATTGATACTTCACAAGATTTAATAAGAACCAAATATCTAAAATAATTTCTTGGAAAATCAAAACAAATCATTTCATTGAACATTATTTTTATTAAATGTAATTGATTTGTTCCCAAATTTTCATAAAATGCTTTGTATAGACAATGTATTTTTTGAATTGTAAAAATATATTATTTGTTTGTGTTCCATTTTTGTCTTGCATGTGTTGAAATTTTTATTTTTCTTAATGATCTTATAACTCAATCTATTTGCATAGTATGAAAGTACATTCCATCTTTCAATCCAAATTATAAGATCGCCTCAATTAAGAGTTACTTGTAATTGGTGGTATAAAGTGGAAGTAACAAAAGTAAGAACAAAAGAAGTATAACACAAAAATAAGTGAAACAAGTGCAATCAAGCAATTCTATACTACAAAACTAATCACAATTTATTCACTGAGTTTTTATCTAGTAAAAAATAAAAAATAAAAGTAAAAATCTATTTTTAGAAAATTAATTTTATTATCTTTCTAATAATATAAGAATCACATAAATCCGAATTACTATGAATAAGTTATAAAAGATTAAAAATAGAAGATATATAATAGAAAAAGTAAGTGAATAATTTTTACCTCAAGAATAACTTGCTTAAGAGATCAAGAATTTGAACCTCAACAAGGCTCACAAGTAGTATATATGGACGTCTAAAAGAGGCTACGAGGCCTTAGTCTTATCCTCCTAACTATCTTAAAGATGCTACAATCCATATGGAACTTGTGCACCTCTCTTCTTATAAAGACTACACTAGCTGTTGGTCCTCCTATTTTCTACTAGTAAAACCAATATTTTTTTATTTTTGACTTCACCATGGTATTTTAAAACACCTAATCAGCCAAAAAAAAAGCCTTGTGTGGCCTTCAAATCTTGCTCCATTTCTTCATAATGACTCCCAAGGTAGTAAAACTCATTTTTACTAAAGTTTTAAAATTGCTATAAAAATTCTTAAATTTTTAAAAATAAATTCTAAATAAAATTTAAAAATTCCTATGATATTTTTATAATATAAATATCAATTTAAAACTATACTTATCTACCTTAGTGATATTTTATAATAATAAATTCAATTTAAATCAACTATAAATCCTATTTCTTATATAATTAATTAAAAAGACATGAAGTTCTTTGTCATGCTTGTTTTAACTATTAACTAACATTTATAATTTTTTTTTATAAGTAATACATATAAATATAAGGTCAATATAAATATTAATCTTAATAAATAATCCTTGATACTCAATAATAAATAAAAATACTAAATCAATTGAAATAATTGCCTCTAAGACTTACTAAGACTCCATTTCTACAACTAACATTCTAATTTTCTATTGGTCTAAAGATTTCTACACTACTCACTATATATTGAGGTTTTAAGTATTTTTATACATCTTTTTATCTTAAAACAACTAGTAAGGCAATTTGATGATTCAAACATGGTGACCATTTGGGATGACTTATAAAAGAAAAAAACTCACAATTGATTGTGTAAAATTTGCTGCTTAGAAAGCAACATTGCTATAGAAGCTGTCAATTTTTTTAAGATTAGAATAAATAAACTATTGCTACTTAATATTTCAATTAAGTTGGATTAATCTAGCTCACTATTCCAAAAAAATAAAGGACTTAAAATCTATATTGATTAAGACTTTTAAAGACAAAAAAATATTGAAAAAATAAAATAATAAAAATTAATACTCTAAAAGCTTTTTCAACATGAAAAAAATATGACATCAATCTTACAAGGCCTACATAACCTTTGGTTGTTTATTATTGGTTTCTCCTATACTAACACTAGCTTGTTAAAATAGCTTATTTTTTTCAACCAAGTTTGAATCTAAAATAGTTTTTTAACAATTCTTCACTAAACCAATAATTCTACAACCTTTTAATGATTAATTAAGACTTAACTACTACTTTCTAATACTCAAAATTATTTATTTATTTATTTATTTATTTATTCATTCTCTAAAATTTTAATCAAGTATTTTCTTTTTTGAATATATGGGATTTTTTGTGAAGAACTAAATTGAATAGAAGACAAAATAAATGAGTATAACAATTACTTGACTTAAATTTTAGAATTTTAGTTTTCTAAATTCCAACTAATTTTGATGATTTCTTACTCAAGGGTTGAATAAGAGTAAATTTAAAGATGAGCTATTTAATCACGTATATGATAAAAATCACACTCTATATTCTTTACATTTATTTCTTGAAGTTCTAATAAGAAAATATTCTCTGTTGAGAGTTTTCAATCAAACTAAATTGTTTGGAAAGACTTCTTTGATCAGATATGGTCTCAATTATATGGCATTAAATTTTCCTAGGAAATCTAGTCTTCTAGAATCTTGTAAAAGAACCAACATGCCAGGCCAAAAGATTCTAACTTTGTGTTGTTTATCAAAGGTAATTTTTTTGCATCTTTGAATTATTTCTATATATTGAGTGCTTCATCTTTTGGCCTCATGAAGATTTTCTAACTATTTGAGTTTATCAATTAAAGATTTTTTAGTTGACAATCTTTCTATCAAAGTAATACAAAGAAAAGAAATCTCAAATTTAATTGATAAAATGGCTTTTATACCATAAACCAAGGAGAATGGAGTTCCTTGGATCCTCACCTTGAACATCATCTTATAAGTCCATAAGGCTATAAGAAGTTTTGTGTCTCAATCTTATTTAGATGTTGTGACTATTTTTCTAAGTATATTAATCAAAGTTTGGTTGACTTATTTCATATGGCTGTTGATTTGAGAATCATAAGGAATAGTCTTTCTATGATCAATTTAAATTGTGAGGTCAAGTTATCACCTCATTCAAGTAATACTTTTTTCTAACATTAATCAAAATTTTTGGACATCCAAATCTAGTGATAATCTGCTTATTGAGGAATTTGGCAAATTACTTGGTATCGTTGGCTTTAATTGCCTTTGCCTCAATCCATTTGGTAAAATATTTGATAGCTACTAATTTATGTTTTATAGCACTAATGGAGTTGAGGTGAACCTCTTCAATGTAATTAATTATCTATTTTTCAAAAAAAACTAAAGATAAAGATACATGGAGAGAGAATGAAATAAGACTAGACTATCTCAAAATCCAAGATCCTTCTAATCCACAACAACATAAAGCCTTATTACAAAATAAGAAAAAATATAATAAAACAAAACTAAATGGAATTAAATAGAATAGCACATGAAAGACAAAATTGAGCAAACAAAAACAAAACAAAACAAAATTAAACAAAATAAAGTAAAATCAAATTTTACTAAGAAAAAGGGTCCAAAATCATACATGACTAGATGCCCCAAAAGACCCTAGTTAGTCCTATTTATACCTTATTGAATGACCGGTCTAATAATAAAATTGGAAGCATGAATGTCAAACATACAAGGGAGCTTGGGGTCATACAGTTACAATATTGGAGCAATAATGAGTGCCTCTTTCAACTTATCAAAGGCATTTTTTTGTTCTAGTTTCTATTCAAATGAGGCACTCTTCTCCAATATATTTTTCAATGAGACAACAATGTGAACAAATTGCCAAACAAAATGGTGATAGTATTTAACAAGGCCTAAAAATGAGTGGATATTAAAAGTATCTTTGGAAGTTGGCTAATCCTTTACTACTTTTATCTTATCTTACTCCATATATATGCCTTTGGAAGACACTACATGCCTTAAAAAAGTGACGTTTAACTTTTAAAGTTCATATTTTGATTGCTTGCAATAGAAATGACTATCTTCTAGCTGGTGCAATACTCCTCATAGGTATTTTTTATGCTCTTCAAGGATTTTATTATATACAAAGATATTATCAATGAAGACAATTACATACTTGTCCAAAAGATCTCGAAACAATTTGATCATCTGATCCATGAAAGAAGTTGGAGCATTGGTAAGGCCAAAGGATAAAACCATCCATTCGAAATGTCCATAGCACATACAAAATGTTGTCTTTTTCACATCCTCTCTTGCAATAGTTCTTTGCTATAGCTGCTCCAAAAATTCAATTTACTAAGGATGGTCACACCTTAAAGTTGGTTAAGCAAATCATCCACATATAGAAGTAGATATGCATTTTTAACAATCTGCTTGTTGATGCCTCGATAGTCGATACAAAGGCAAAATCCACCATCTTTCTTAGGTATAAA